AATGCCGTGAGACTAGCAGAACATTTGAACATTGACAACTCCTTTATTTATGCTACAGTGTAATACCTCATATCAATGACAATAATAATATCCCTAATAATTAATCAATTAATAATATAATACTCCACTGCAATTATTTACAGATGCACACTCCATCCCCACTGCAATTATTTGCTCAGTTACCATTGCAATTTTCAACCATAATATGGCTTATTTACAGATCTGGTTTGCTTGAGCAGACATATTTCAGAATCTTTCGGTACATTAGACTTGAACAAGCATGGATCTGGACAAGAAGAGTTGTTGCCTTTCAAGTTTAACCATGTGAGAACATTTCGAGAATAGGATTGGACAGCAATTGCGGCGGCAATGACGGGGATCGAGAGGTACATCGGCAACGATGAGGTGTGGAGGCAGCAGGGGCGCCGACGAGATGCGCGGAATCAGTGAGGTACGGTGGTGGCAATGATGTGTTGTGGCGGTACGGTGGACCGGTAGTGGAGGAATGGAGCTGCTAGGTTTGAGGGATAGCTGTGTGTAATTTTGTATTGTACTCCGTATGCCCGTAAGTGAACAAGCAACTATTTGAAGGTACTTTTAATGTGAGGGTAAACTTGGCAATAAGTTCAAATTTAGTCCTATTTGCGTATAAAAATCTCGCCGGTCCTATTTAGTGTTAAGGAGTATGTTTTGCTCCTATTTGAGTCTATTTCCCTATAATAATTGGGCCACACTTTCTAAACACAATGGATAAGGCCGAAATAATTAAAAATACGACTTTAATTTGAAGATACTAAAAGTGACAATTAGTAATACTTTGACAGAATAATTAGAAGAATCGAATTATTCGACAGAGTCATTGCTTTTCATTGGGACAATTATACACGTATAGAAATAGACTGAGCAAAGTAAAACGAATTTGATGACTAGAATGGATGGAACAAAACAAAGATAGATATTCCAGTTGAGCCGGGTAATTAAATAGATTGGACTAAAGGGAATACTTTGGATTAATGAATTAACCATTGAGTAAAAGCAAATAGGACATTTGAGGAAGGGTTAGAATAATTATTAATTCTAGAATTTTTAATATTCTAGAAGGTGATATTTGAAGAGGATCAAGGTTAAAGCTTCGGTTAGGATTATCGCGATTCGAGGTAAGTACTATGTCAACCAAATTTCATGCTTTTCCCATATAAATTTATTTGTGACTAGTTATTTGAGATCATTTGAGTATATGATAGTTAATGAGATTTTACGTATCAATTATGATTGTGAATTATATATATTTGAGATTTGAGTATTTTATATTGGGTGATATTTTGAGCATTTGAATTTACATATGAATTGTTATTTGATTGAGATTTGAGATTTGAGCTATTTATGAAGTATCATATATTTTGGACTATTGATGGTATATTTGAGTATGATGAGTTGGAGTTAATAATTTTATTGTGAATAATTTTGTGGAATTCGGATTTCATATCCATTTTGATTGATGTTATGATACTTGAACTTTGAGGTTGAATTATGATTTTGTGAGTACCCGGGGAAATGTGGATTTGGTGAGTGGTAATGACTATAAGTCTAATTCCACCAGAGATCTCCCAAAAGCGGAGCATCCCAGCTTAATTGTAGTAATCGGTAGAAAAATCCCGACTACTCGGACTTTTTACTACCCGGAGAGCTTGGAATCTCTTTTAGGGGGTGTGCACACTTAAGGTAGAAGTTCGGCTTCCATTGAATTTGGTTGAGTTTGAATGATTGGACTTGAGATGATTTGGATTATTTGGTTGGACTTGATGGAGATGAATTGAACTACATTATATTGGATTATTTGAGTGGGTTATATTTGTTTGGATTGAATTGAATTTGATCGATGTGGTTGAGATTATTAAATTATTTGTAGATTTTCAAAGTGATACTTATTAATTTGATTTGATATGGTTATGTTGAATATTGATTATGAGTATTTGGAAGTATTTTGAGATGAATATTTGGGCTTTACATATGATTTATGTTTTGGAATATAATTACGAGGATTTTGGTGGTTTATTTATATTGACCTTTTAAAATTATTATGATTTAGAATTATGTACCTATATTTGGAATATTATTATTTTACATGTGATTTTGTGATGAGAAGTTTGTATAAAATGTTTCATGAGGTTTCCTCCCAAATGTTTTCACAAAATGATATATATGTATTAAACATGATTATTTTACAGGGTTGGGTGGGCCTTACTTAGCATTTCCAGCTAATTTTTGTTTCTTTGTGTTTTTCTTTATGTACTTTATTTGTGCAGGAATTGAGGATCATGTTGAAGTTGATTTCGAGAGCTTCCGCTAGAACACATAGACTAAAGTGATTGAATAATTTATTTTAGTCTTAATTTTAAAGAATTGTAGTTGAACAATTAATTAATTAAAATTTTAATTGGTTGGTGATGGATAGCCTGTGCACTCGGTTATGTGAGAACCGAGTGTGGCGGTAACGCCCCTGTTTCCCTTTGAATTTTCCGCTGCAAGACTCTGATGTTTTCGAATAAATCATTATTTACTTTGAATAAATCATTATTCAAATGTATTTTTGGGTGGGAAATTTGGGGGTGTTACACTACACCCATCCTTTTGGGAAGACCTTTCTTAAAAACGGCCCAAACAAAGATAGACGTGTCTAATGGTTCATTAACTTTAGAGTTCGATGACCAAAAAGTAGAATTCAACATCTTTGATTCTACTAAAAAGCGAATTAAAGAACAATCCCTTTGTTCTCTAAATTTTTTTGAACCACAAGCATAAAATATTTTTATTGAGAAAGAGGCTAAGGAAAAATCTATTTTGCAAGAAGAATCGCCTCAATACGAGTTGGAACCACCTGTAGTTGAGGCGACAATGAAAAGGAAACCTCAGTCCTCTCGGAAAAGGCTGAAGGGAAGAAATGAAGGAAGGGATGTTCACGATCCCACATAAAACGAAAAAAATAAATAAATAAAACGTCGTGCCACGACGTTAAATAAAGCGCTTCTTGGGAGGCAACCCAAGTCAAGTAGTTAGATTTTATATTCTTTTTGTGTGAATTTGAGAGAAAAGGGAGAGAGGGAACTAACCACGTGTTTTTGAAGAAAAGAAAAAAAATGCAGGGTTTGTGCAGCTGAAGACATACTCGATCGGGTCCAATTAAATACCCGGTCGAGTACAGGTTAAAAAGAGAAACCGATGCAATACTCGATCGGAGCAGCAAAACTTTTTACAAAAAACAGGCATACCCGATCGGGTATAGTTCCATGCTCGGTCGGGTATGGCTAGAAAAAAGAACATAAATTGCCCCTGCCTCCGAGACCCGATCGAGTACACTTATATACTCGATCGGGCATTTCTGGAAAAACGACCACCCAAACAGCCTGCCTCCCAAACCCGATCGAGTACCAGGCTCAAAACGAGGCAAACGAGCAATACCCGATCGGGTATAGCAGGGTACTCGATCGGGTACCCCTGCGATTTAACCCCAAAACACCCCAAACCACTTCATCTTCTCCAAAAAATCAAACCAACTTCGAACCTCTCTCCTCCAAACTCCATTTTGGACCTTCTCTCTACCATATCTCCCTCATTCCTCCACCAAATCATCCCATTCCACCACCAAAATACTCCCCTCACTCTCCTCTACTTATCTATACCCACAAATCCGTTTTTCCCCAAATCTCCAAAAAATCCAAAAAACCCTACCCCCATTCGAATTTTGGTTTTTCAAAGCTCAAAAACACCAAAAATGGCTCTAAGAAAGAATAGGGGAGAGAGCTCAAACGTCATGGCACCCATCCCAGGCTACGAAGACTTTCACTTCACCGATACCGAACAACGGGCCCGAATCCTCGCCACAATTTCAAGGCAAGTCAAACCATCTCGTTTTCTTTGCCATAAAGCTCTTCGTGATTTAGGCATTCTTAAGAGCACTAGAAAATTCTTTCATGAGTTGAATATGGACCGTATTTTCAATATGAAATACAACTCAAATGAAAGAATTATCTATGAGTTCATAAGTTCGGCTAGTTTTGAGAGCAACGAGGATGATCTTAGGGATGATACACTCTCGTTTCGTTTGCTTAACCAAGAATATTCAATAACGAAACTTGAGTTTGCCGAACATTTTGACATTCCCGTCCCCTACGAGAGAGAAATTTCGGACAACACCGTAATGGGTCACGCACTTTGGACCAAAATGACCGTAGAGGTGAACTTTAGCTCCTCCCAACTATACATAAGCCATGTTCATCATCCCATTCTAAGCATATTTTTAAAGTTTTTGGCTAATTGTATACTTGGGCGCCCCAACAACCATCACACTAGGATGGGTGACGTGTGTTTGATGACCACGGTTTTGTTTCGTCGCGCCGTGGATTTAACCTTTGCAATTTAATGTGGGCACATCTAAAGAAAGAATGCTTTGCTAAAGGCCCAATTGTTTTGGGTGGGGTGATTATGCACTTGGCGACAAAGTTTGGGTATATGGATAACTCTCCTATACCCGACTATTGTCTAATGAATATTACTTGGTTAGGCAACTCGGGGTGTGCTACTTTTTCTCACACGGTATATGGTGAAGATCAACCCCGTCATGTATACAATTGGCTCATACACCCAAAACCGATGAGACATTACCCTTTGCCTAACCCGGACCTCCCCAAACTCCATTACAATAGAGATGTGCCCCATTATTTGTTCCCACACCTCCTCCCACCACACCTACAAGAACCTCAAGCCCAACCCCCCCCCCCCCCCCCCCCCGAAAACCAACCCGACCAAGAACCTCAAGTCGAGCAACATGAACCCGAGGTTGTACTTCACCACATTCCCGAACAGAACCAAGTCCCTCCACCACCCGATTACTTCCAACAACTACTTGAAGGATTCAACAAAGTTACCAATGAAGTTGGAAGATATCGGGAGGAACAAAGGGCGGGATTTCAAAGACTTGAGGAGCAACGGGCCGAAGACAACAGAAGGTACGAAGAAGATCAACGTAGGTTTTATGGACCTATGTACTCTTACATGGCTCATCAAGGCTCCTTCCACACTATGGCTCAACCACCCCCACCCCCCTCTTGGTATGACCCCACTCAATGGGGTAACTTTGGAGGATCTAGCTCCGGGGGTGGAGGTTATGATGGCGGGGACAACAGAGATGCTTACATGGGCGACGGGAGTTTTAGAGGCGGCTTTGGAGGCGGCTTTGGAGGCGGCTTTGGAGGCGGGTACTATGGCGGCGAAGGTGGGCACTAGGGACAGTGCTTGGACTGAGAAGGGGGGAGACTCCTCATGGTATGTAATTTTATTTTCTACCCTTTACTATGCATGAACTTTCTTTTACTCTTTGTAAACAAAAAAAAAAGAAATAAAAGAAAAAGGAAATGCCAGTTAGGTTGAAAACCCAAAAATGGGCAATCTAAGCAAAAACGGCTTATAAAAAAGATGAGTGAGTTAGGGAGGATGGAAAAACAAAAAGAGATGCTAGGATGAAAACCTGAAAAGGCTCCTAGGCAAAATGAGAGATAAGAGAGAAATATTTGTTGTGTGCAGGAACTCATTTGATCTCTTGGAAGAACGAGGAGAAGAAAAGAAAGAAGATATAGAAGAGAAGAAGAAAAAGAGGCTAGAAGATGGAGCATAGAAGATCATAAAACCAAAGAAAGAATGTTGTTTGTAAACTCATTTTTATTTCTTGGTGATCTTAGTTTCTTTCTTTCTTGAACTCATGGGAAGATCTTAAACTGTTTGAAACATTTTACTTTACTCGAGGCCGAGTAAAGAACTATGTATGGGGGAGTTGATACACATGTAATTTCCGTGTGTATGTTTACGTTTTTAGTTAGTTTTGGTTGTTTAATATTTCGGAAATTACACACTTTTGGTGTAATAGTTATGTTTGTAAATTAGTTGTAATTCATTTAGATTAGGATCATTCTGAGCTTAAACAGGTCCAAGATCAGTCAAATGATCATTGATGAAGGAAGGTGCAAGAGTTCAAGATAAAAAGGAGGCAAAATCCTGATTTTTGGCCTGTACCCGGTCGAGTATACCATATACTCGATCGGGTACCAACTGTACTTTCAATCAGATCAATCAGGAGACAAAAGGGTGTGCAGGGGAAGATTTGGCCACGATCAATTGTAATATCCGATCAGGTACACCTATATACCCGATCGGGTATACCTTTTATTTTCACTCCGAATTCGATCGAGTAAGCCTCAAAACTACACTTTTTACACATACCCGATCGGGTATCTATATATACTCGATCGGGTACCCGAACTGCACTCCCAAAAAGCCTATAAATACACCCCTTCCCTTCACAATGAGGGACCAATTCCTTTACACTCTTAAGCTCAATTTAGAATAACATTTCTTTATACTTCTTCTAGCATGTTTAGTCTCCAAATGAGGAGCTAAACTTCCATTTCTTGGTGTTGCTCTTGAAGCTTGTTGATTATTAAAGTTGTGAGTTATTTTCTTAACTTCTTTCCTTGAATATTAATTCTTCCTTTAAATACTATTTCTATATCAATGTTGGGGAGTGTTACTAAGATGACAATTAGTTAACATCTTGACATTGGTCTTAGCAATAGCTATTCCTTCCTCTATGTTAAGATTGGGGAGTGTTACTAAGATGACAATTAGTTAACATCTTGATATTAACTATAGTAGGATTCATTTTCTTTAATATTCTTCCTCCAGTATTAATTAATTCCTATTCATATTTCATATTAATATTTGAACATTACTTAAAGGATCAACTAGTTTTGTTTCATATATTAATTATTACTAGAAACGATCAACGAACCGATGGTTAATCGTTGATAGTTTCACAAGTAAGTAACTTCGGTTTATTAATGCACGGTCGTGGTAATAAACTTAAGAGGGATTAATTTTGTTGGTTAAACTGAAACCGTTGTGTTGAGGTTATCAATCTCAATTGATATCATCAAGGAGTTAAGAGATTAAATGCTACTATCAAGTCGGTATATGGCGTTGTTCTATACTTGACTAATAGTAAGGGTTATTAATGAACGGTCGTTGTTAATAACTAACCTCGATGAATTGGATATACTCCTCGATTGAGTATTCGAGAGGAGATAAGTTATAGATATAACAATGATCGACTAAAATATATCAACAAGTGGAAAGTAGCAATGCCAAGTCCTTTTTATCTTTGAATCAAATCACATATAACTCGTTCATCTTCGTGTTTTATTTTAATTAAATCACTCAATCAAAACCCCCCCTTTATTTATTAGTTCATAAAAAGAGAGTTACTCCTTTCCTTGTGGATACGAACTCTACTTCACCTATACTACGTATAAGTGTTAGTATTGAAAATTATTTTGAGTGCACACACGACAAAGTGCACGTCATTGCCTTTTGAAATTAGTCTCCTAGCCAGAGTACTTTAAATTCAATCGGCTCCTGCGTTTTTTTTCCTAACTTTGGAAGTCTAAAAAAATCAACAAGTTTTCCTTCATCTTCCTCATCCAAACTCTATCACTTTAGTGCATCGTTTGGTTTGCCGTAGTCCTTCAAGAACGAAAAATCATGGGAGTCAATTGCTAGCGGGCAAATTTGTCTTAAGAAGACAACAACATTTGTTGGGCTCGATTCCATCCTCATAACTTCCGTACGCTTCCCGTTTATCATAATTATTTATTTTACAAATTTTCGAGACACAAATACAACAAATTATTCATATTCCATTGATCCGTTAGACCTCGATTCCATATTAGGGTACACCTTGAATCCTTAGAATTTAATCATACCGCTCTATGCTAAGCAGGGGCGGATCCGTAAATTTGGTTTGAGATGGGTTTAAGAGTAATTATACTAGGCTTAAACATTAGAGGTTGATGTGCACGCATCATGAGTGCATAAGTGTTCATTTTTAGGATTAATTTATGATGCTTTGTTACTTAGTTCATAGATTTATGATGTTTGATTTTATGCTCTCCATTTGTATGTAAAACATTGTTGTAAGCTTGTAAAATACGATTAGTTAATTTTGCATTTGATAATGATGAACTTGGAAGACAACAAAAGGAGAAAAAATTAATTTCATGCAATACCCGATCGGGTATATCACTTTACCCGGTCGGGTATGAAGAGAAAACGAAAGAGAAATTGGACTGATACCCGATCGGGTATGTACCTTTACCCGGTCGGATATGACTTGATCCGGGCAAATAGACGTGCTGAAAAAACACAAAGACGTGGGAAAATATTTGATTTTGACCGATACTCGGTCGGGTATGTACCTATACCCGGTCGGGTATCCGGCGCAAGGTGTTGAAAACACCTATAAATAGCACACTTTTCGTTCACAATTATCATCCCTTCTTCCATATATATATATATATATATATATATATATATATATATATACTTAAGCGCAACTTAGAATAATATTTTCTTTATATTTTTCTAGCATTGTTTAGTCTCCAAATCAGGAGCTAAACTCTCATTTCTTGGTTTAATTTGTTCTTGAAGTTTATTGAATGTTAAAGTTGCGAGCTATTTTCTTACTCCTTCCCTTGAATATTAATTCTTCCCTTATTCTATCTCTATATTAATGTTAGGAAGTGTTTTTTTATCAAAGGGGGCTTATATTGATAAAATAGCATTCAGTTGGGGTAACAACAAACAAAAGGACCACATGTAACCATCCGCCCTTGATCGAGACTCAGAGTTAATCACCTTTGACAAAGCAATATAACTCGCTAGACCTAACTTGGGCAAAATAAAGCCAACGACGATTACCGTAGACCTCTCATCCCCCAAACCTAATGCAAGAGTCTTAAAACAATAGAAAACAACAACAACACAACAACAACAACAACAACAACAAGTAGTTCGAAATAAAAAAAACAAACAAAATAAAACAGAATTAAACTAGAGATCACTCATTTTCTTCCTGACCATAGATTTTCCAGCACTCCATGGCGGCGGTTCAGGAGGGGGACGAGCCAGTAGTACTGTAGCTTCTTCCTCACCACATCTCTTATTCATCATGTTTTCTGCCAAGTCTCTACTTTCGCAACTAATCACATATGACCTTGAAATCAGATTTGTTCCAGCTTTTAACCCCAAGCTTTGCCCATGACCTTCACTCGATGATGTCATTCTCTTGCTATTGATATATCTGCTTCTTGTTCGCACCAAGAATCTCGTCACAGGGAAAAACCCCAAATCGAAAAACCACCCAATCAATCAGATCGGCGGAAGAACTAAAACTCTAACATGAGGGAGACAGTCGCTGATAGAAACTACTAGCTCCTATTGTAAAATTAACACACACATATATAAATCTACCAATTAATGTTGGGAAGTGTTGTTAAATGAAAATTAGTTAACATCTTGACATTAATTAGTAATAGAATCGATCAATGAACCGATTGTTAATCATTGATGGTTTCAGAAGTAAGTAACTTCGGGTTATTAATGCATGGTCGTGGTTAATAATGTTAAGAGGGATTAATTGTGTTGGTTAAACCGAAACAATTGTGTTGATATTATCAATCTCAATTGACTTCAGCAAAGAGTTAAGAGATTAAATGCTACTATCAAGTCGGTATATGACGATGTTTTATACTTAACTAATAGTAAGAGTTATTAATGAATGAGTGTTATTAATAACTACACTCGATAAATTGGAGATACTCCTCGATTGAATATTCGAGAGGGGACAAGTTATAGATATAATTGGAATCAACAAACATATCAACAAGGGGAAAGTAGCAAAACCAAGTCTTTTATCTCATTAATTAAAATCGATCACATAAGTCGTTCATCTTAGTGTTTATTTAATTAAATAAAATCAACCTCAAAATCCCCCTTTTTAATTACTAGTTTCATTAAAGAAAAGTATTCATTTCCTTGTGGATACGAAGTCTACCTCACTCTACTATGTATTACTGCTAGTATTGAATTTATTTTGAGGCACCCAACGATTTTAATGCCGTCAGAAGCCTTGCTGCTATTTTCTTCCCGAAAAAAGACTGGCTTTATCTGGGTGTGTTCATGAGTTTGTGGCTAATATTTTAGCACCAGTGATATTTTAACATTGGATTTGGATTATCGGTTAACTGACGATATTTGATTTGATATTTGAACAATTTTGACTTGAAAAATAGTGTTTGGCTAAATAAAAAGGGATGGAAGAAGTATTCACTTTTCAAAAAAGAAATAATTACATATTCATGACTAAAATAAAGATTGTTTACAAAAATGTGATTAGTGACTAAAGTAATAATAAAATCATACTCACTCCGTCCCAAACTGATGATCCTATACTTTTTGGGCTCAAATATTAACATAAAGTGGTAGAAGGACCCATATAACCTTACTTTAATGTATTGTTCACTCATTTACTTTTACTAATCATCAAAAAGAGGGGTATAAATGATAGTTTACTTTAATTTCTTTACCAAAAAGGGAAAGGTGGCTATAATTTTGGTACACCCCAAATAGGAAATACAGGACCATCATTTTGGGATGAAGGTAGTAGTAATTTGTATTCAATTTTAAACTTAAGTTACAATGACATTATATTGTACGTAGTAACTAATTGTCAAATTTGTGTAAATAAGTTTTGTTTTAGTAATATTTTTTTAAAAAACCCCTTCAAAAAAACCAAAGTTCCTCATTGAAAATTAGTATTTTTATACAATAAAGTATCGATTCTTGTAGAGGCATATAACTCCACACTCTGTGCCATTTTCT